ACCAGAAGACTTTATTGTTGTGAATGGTAAAAATACTCCTTTGAAGATACTTACTCAGATATACCACCAACAGGTTTTGTTGACTTATTTAATACTTTAAGTACGGTGTAACATGTGCTGCAACTAGAGCAGGTTTCATTATGTTTGGATGTCCGACTGAGTTTACTATAAACGATATGAGCTATAATACAAAACTTATTTCTGGTTTTTACTACCACAGTTTCCTATAACAGGAAAAGGTGTCATACAAGGAATGTCTATTCCATTGACATTAAGCACACCAATTTATATATTGTTTCAAACTTAGGTTCAAATGTTATTCGAATGTCGACAGAAACTATTATGACAAAAGATACTTATGCGTATAAACATACTTCTCTGCTGGTTTGCCTATTGTTCATTCGAATGCAGAATTTTCAACCTTAGTGAACTCAAACACTTTGGCAAGTATAACGTTGACATTAGTTGACGCAAACTTTGTTCCTGTAAAACTTTTATGTCCTATGTATTTGTCAATGACGGCAGAAAGTTTCGAATTGGAAGATGCAACTGGTGAAAGTATTGTATTACAAGAACAACTTCAACAACAAATAGCTCAAGAACAACAAATGCAACAAATGAAACAACAAGTCAAGAATAAAAAAAATATTTTTTTTTATTTTTATAAAAATGTACAGAATAGATGTTTCAGATTTTTATGACTTCCAAGCATTCAGAATATGTGTCCATTTAGAGACTATAACAAAGCAGTCGAGAATTGAAACGTTTAGTCATTTATGTTGACTCTGCCAGAATGTTATGTCATGAAAGAATGGATGTTGTCTTTAACAAACAAGAGCAACAATAGTTCTGAACTTACAACAAACAGAAACGAGGTTGTTAGACTTGCGACGTAAGCGAATTAGTGGGGTTCAGCAACAACCCAATAATTGTTCCTCATAGACCGTAAGGGAAGTAGGGAGTGGAGATTCTTGTTACAACGTGACTATATGTCTATAGCTATATCGGGTCGTAATATGATAATTCGCCTGCTGAAAAGAAAAGAGTAAATTTCTAAGACACTATTGTTGCTCTTGGTTTGTAATAACAACAATCCCATTCTTTCATGACATAAACATTCTGGGGCAGAGTCAACATAAATGACTAAACGTTTCAAATTCTCGACTGCTTTGTTATAGTCTCTAAATGGACACATATTTCTGAATGCTTGGAAGTCATAAAAATCTGAAACATCTATTCTGTACATTTTTAAATAAAAATAAAAAAATATTATTTTTTTATTCTTGACTTTGTTGTTCCATTTGTTGCATTTGTTGTTCTTGAGCTATTTGTTGTTGAAGTTGTTCTTGTAATACAATACTTTCACCAGTTGCATCTTCCAATTCGAAACTTTCTGCCGTCATTGACAAATACATAGGACATAAAAGTTTTACAGGAACAAAGTTTGCGTCAACTAATGTCAACGTTATACTTGCCAAAGTGTTTGAGTTCACTAAGGTTGAAAATTCTGCATTCGAATGAACAATAGGCAAACCAGCAGAGAAAGTATTGTTTATACGCATAAGTATCTTTTGGTCATAATAGTTTCTGTCGACATTCGAATAACACTTTGAACCTAAGTTTGAAAAAATATATAAGATTGGTGTGCTTAATGTCAATGGAATAGACATTCCTTGTATGACACCTTTTCCTGTTATAGGAAACTGTTGGTATAAAACCAGAAATAAGTTTTGTATTATAGCTCATATCGTTTATAGTAAACTCAGTCGGACATCCAAACATAATGAAACCTGCTCTAGTTGCAGCACATGTTACACCTACTTAAAGTATTAAATAAGTCAACAAAACCTGTTGGTGGTATATCTGAGTAAGTATCTTCAAAGGAGTATTTTTTACCATTCACAACAATAAAGTCTTTTGGTGTCAAAAGAGCAAAACAGGCTTTAGTCGTCATTGTGTTTAAGGTTAGTTTACAATATCGTCCTTGAGGACTTTGTAAGTTTGTTGTTATAGAATTATATGACTCAGGGTTTTTAGTCGTAATAGTATAAACCATTATGTCTTCTGCCATTTACTTGCAAAAATAATTTTAATGAAATGTTGTGGTCGTCAAATATTTTTATAACGTCTGGGAAACTATATTTTAAGTTCAACGTTTCACCTCCTTTCATAACGTATATCTTGTCAATGACATTATATGAAACACCACAGCAACAATGTCGGGTTCTATTTCTTTGATGTTTATATCGTCTGCCTCTGTCAAAAGTTTCAATAGTTCTTTCAAATTTCATGAGGTGCAATGACATATGAGTTCACTTTTACAGGGTTGTGTTCGACCAAGTTTAACATTATACTTAAAGCTTGACAAATCTTCTCCTGAGTTTGAAGTTTGTCTTTCAGTTGTTGGTAGTCTTTCGAATATCTGCACAGAACTTAAGTCTCTGCTAACTTCAGGATATGTGGTTGTTTTCTTTTACAGGAACAATTGTTATACCATCTTCGTCTTCGTATGGTTTCCCCACTTCAACATCTCTGTCTTTGACATTGACAACAACACTTTGACTGTTTGTTTGAGTTGGTGAATTTAACTTCACATCTGCCACCGCCATTAAACCTTTTGAAACACTTACGCTTCTATTTTTCGGAAATGACATTTTACTTAGAATAAAAAGATGGACGTATTCGGATATTTTTCGAATTGAAGCAGAACAAAGTTTAACACACAAACAATACAAATACATTGACAGAATATTCTTTACAAAACAATGGAAAATGTTATAGAATAGCAATTTTGCTGAACCAAAATATTTTCATAAGCAGAAAAGTTGGTATAACTGAAATGGTGAAAGTTCTTGAAGCAGACAAAATATAACTTCAAAACTTACGATATTCTAAAGAAAGTTTATAATACAATATTATGTCAAAACTGGCGTACTGTCAATATTTGACGAGAGAAGTCAGTTCAAGAACAACTTACTGACCTGCTGCCAAAATCTGCTCGATGGAAGCTGTCGTTATGCCAATCTGAGGAGCCCCAGCAGGTTTCATCGAACGAATCTTCAAAAGAGCATCTCCGTGAAAAGTGCTATTGGTTTTGTAAATTCTTTGCTTCAATTCATCTGGACCGTCTCTGTCACCAGTATATTGTATTTGAACTGTACCAACAGTTGAAATACCACCCATAAAGTCTTCTGAGTCAGCAAATGGAATGCCAAGCCAAAAGTTTGAACGGTCTCCATTTGTATATTGAGTTTTTTGACCTCCTGTATGAGTCCATACTTTCACATATGGCATAATAGAACTTTGCATTTCAGGGTTAATGTTGTTGTGAAGTTGTTGTTAAAGTTCATAGCATCTAATGTCAAGTTGTATGACCTCATATCCTCAACTGTAGAATATTCTTCTCTTGGATAATATTGCCATCTATGTTTATATGAATTTTAATACCGGGTTGTAGAAACAAGAATAGTCATTTATAGTTCGTCTGAACATACAAACATAGTATCTGCATGTTTCATTGCAGTTGTTAAAGCAATATCTGTTCTTGCACCTGGGTCCATTTTGGTTTCCAACTTCACCTGCAAAGTCTTTGACAGATATTTGGTGTATAGGGAACATAAGTGGAACTGCAATATATTTGGCAGCTAAAGCATTTGAAATATCTGGGTCCAACATATAGACTGCAAGTCTGCTTTCTATTCTCTTGCATTCAAATTTTCGCATGTGAACTTAACTGGGTCCCAAGCAGTTCCAGCAGCATTGAAATAATAGTTTACTTCATTGTTGAAGTTTGAGAAACCAAAGTCTAAGTCAACTTTGTCTTTGCAAAATCGCGAATGACGTTTGATTTGTTCCCTTTACGTCTGTAATAGTGAATGGGTCTTGTGTTGGTGCAATGATAATTTTATTTTTGCTTGGAGTAAGTTCAATAGAAATTTTTCCTGCCCAGTTTGGAAGTATCTTAAAAACCTGAAGATGAGGAAAGATGACAAAGGAACTCTAAGTTTCAGTTTTACTTTGTTACTGCTGCTGCAGTTTGTCCAGAAAGGTTACATAAACTCCTGAAACGTTAGGGTCAAGTCTTCTTATTTTCTCAATAGTTGCATACTGGTCTTTTTTGTTCTCTAGCTTGTGGTTGTACTGAGTTTCTCAAAGCGAACCATTCATAGTTTGCCCATGTTACTGTTTGAACTAAGTCAGAGTTAGAATATATCTTATATCCCATGAAAACTTCTGGAGCATATTGGTATCCGACATAGAAAATTCCATTGCAACCTTTCTTGTCAGACAACTTGGCAGAAGGTTTTATTTCAATGTCTTGTTCCACGTATAAGAATGAGTTGTCAATAGAAATAATATGAAACCTGTCGCAAGCAATATCTACTTGTTGTTGAAGAACCTTCTCCAAACTCACCTACGTTTCCATAAGAAACAGCAGTTGTATATTCTAAAGTTCCAGGAACTATTTCTGACCTTCTAATGGCATTGTCGCATTCGTTATACCATTCGGAAACATTTCCGTTCATGGCATCCAAAACTGTTGGCGTTATATTCTGAGCGGCGTACATTTCATATGGGTAAAAATATAGAATAGTTGGATTTATTGTCATAATAGAACCCACCGACAAGCTTTACTTTCTTCCTGCTGATTTTTAACTCTTCTTTTTCCTTCATTGCCACTACTTTCACTAGATGAAGTTACTTCTTCACTACTTTCACTTTGTTCTACTCTTCTCTTCTTCTTTGGTGTCGCTTTTGGTAACTTGCCCTCTGCTTCAAGTTGTTGCATCTTTGCCTCATGTTCACCTAGTATGTTGTAAATTTCCATGTCCTTTTTGCCTTTGGGCTCTGGTCGCCCATCTCAGGTAACCTATATCCTAGAAAGATTTGTCATAGTTTGTATTTGAGTCTTCGCTTATTGTTTGCAACTCTTTCCTGAGTTTCCGGTTCAAGCTCTTCAAAAAGCTTGTCCATATGGAATAAGCTCGTTTCCAAATATATGTTTTTGTAGCCATTCTGGTTTTCTTTCCATGTAACCAATATTCTTTTGTGAATGGGAAAGCTTTTACCCAAGTTTCAGTCTTGCGTCATTTATTCTTGTAGTTGGTTTTATTTTGTCAGGAACATGTTTTTCAATACTAACATTTCATTTGGTACTGTCCATTTGAGTTTTTCTAAATATTCATCCCTTCTCATTTCATTGTCTGCAAAGTAAGTTTTTATGACATTTTGAAACTTTCGTTTGCAAGTCATGTACAATAGGTTCTCTTCCTTCTCTCTCCCTAACTCTTTTCTAAACTCTTCACCAAATATACCATCTCTATGGTTCTGTGTAGTTCTTTGAGATAAATGTTCTAGAACGTCAGGTGTTATATTTCCATCAGCCATGTTCATTTCATACTGGTCCAAATATCTGCATTGTTCATATCTTTCAATGGCATTAAAGCCGCGCTGAAAATACCAGCTATATCTGGTTCACCATTCACTTCCATTGCGTCTACAACTTCTTGGAATTTGGGTTTGAAGTTTATGAACCACCTATCCGGATTAGCTTTATGACCCCATCTCATTGTAGTTCCATAGTCTGCAGAAACAAAAGTAGGTTTGTTTCCATATTGGTTAGGTTCTGAATGAACTTTAAACAATGTTTCATTTCTATATGTTTTGTTGAAATTTAACCTTTTTATTTCACCGAGTTCAGCCAAAGATTGAACGTTATATGGTCGTAAGTAAAAAGGATTTTGTATTTGCGTACATTTTCTTTCAGTACTTCCATTCTATGCTGATATTTTCATCTGGTGTTGGAGTCTTTTGTATGTCGGAAACATTTTTCGATATTCTTCTACATGTCAGCCGAATTTTTCTTAGACTCTTGGAAAGATTCCATATTCTCCCATACTCTTGTTGAGGGTCAAGATTTTTCGGCTGTTCCAAATCTTCATCTAGTTCTGTGAAGTTAGTTCTCAAAGGAGGACTTGTTCGTTTCCTTCAGGCTCTTTAGCTGTTGTTGCTGAACTATTTCTTCCATGTCTGGTTGTATCTGAACTTCTTCCTGTGAGTTTCTTGTACCTCATCTGCTGGCATTTCATATATTCCGAGACCGTTTTTAACAAGTTCCCTATCTAAGTCATCCGGATCTCATAAACCTTCTTCTTTCGTTCCGTCTCTATTTTTTACGCGTTTCATGAAGAGAGTTGAATTATCATTTAGCTCTGACACAAAATCTCGGAGTAAATCCATCATGTCATTTGGATGATATGCTATTAAATCATATCCCTTAGCGAGCTTGTATTTTCCAGGTTTGAATTATATCCATTTGCTGAACCATAAAGCTAAATAGGTTCGGGTCAGTATTTCCTTCCTTGAACTTTCTAATAGCTCTTTATATCTGTCACTAAAGTCAAGAGTATCTGGGTAACCATAATCTTCCTTAAGCATTTTTAGAATTCTTGGTTTCCTTTTTCTCTACTTCTTTTATGTTTTGCTCTGTTTGTGGTTGTTGTTTGTGCAGGGTTTTGAACTGTTGTTGCTGTGCTGTGTGATGTGTTGTCTGTTGTGTCAGTGTTTTGAACTGTTGTTGTGTGTTTTGAACTGTTGGTTGGTTGTTGTTGTGTCTGGTTTGACTGTTGTTGTTGTGTTGGTTTTGGTGCATGCCTGTGTCTGTGTCCATGTGACGATGTAAATGTTTTAGGTAGTCCTGGTGCAGGTGCTTCTCTTGGAGGGTTTGGTGGTATATAAGTTCCACCAGCTGCACATATGTTCCATCTGCAGCAAAATGTCCTACCTGACTTTTCGTTTTAAGAAAGCATTTACTAGGTCTGTTTTGGTCTGTTGTAACTCTTTTTCTTGACTTTCCACAACAGTTGCTCTAACGCGTCATAGGCACTTTGAACTGCCTGTCTCGTTGCTGCATCTGTTATTTTCGTCATATTTTGTGCTACTTCTCTTAACTCTTGTCGAAACCTTCAGACTTCAGTTTCTTTCCAGATGAGAAGTCGTTCACTAGTTTCACCTTACTATGAAGAGCTTCGAAGGCTTCTTAAAGTCAGCATTCATTAAAGCTTCATTTGAACTGTCTTCATCCGCTTGTATTTTTGTCCTTATTGACCCTATAAGTTGGGCTGCTTTAGCGTTGGCTTGGGCATCTAACCAGTCATTATTAGCTTTTATATATTCTGCGCTTTTCATTGCCTTTTGAATGGCTGCGTGTTATTTTTACTTTCTTGTGCTAAGTTTTCATACTGTACGGTTTGTTTTTGCAACTGTAAAAGTTTTTCTGCCTTTACATTTGCTTCAACTTCTTTTTTATACTCATCGCTATCCATATATGTCTTCAGGCTTTTTGTTTTATCTCTTCATCTTTCAGTACTTTATATTGAGTAGTATGGTTTTTCAAATTTAAACATCTTGTTCCATTTTTGCTACTCTGCTGCTTTTTCTGACACTTTTGCATATTCCTCTGTACTTAGTTCTTTCAGTTGTTCTTCTTTCTTCTTTTTCTCTACGTTTAACTCATTGAGTTTCTTTGTGTGTCTGTCATATTCTAGTTTCTTTTCGTTTTCACTTATTTGTTTCTGTATGTCTATGTTTGACTTTTTGACATCTGTATTTGATTTTTGAGTGAACTCAAATTCATTTGACTTTGAGGGTTATAAGCTGTTCCGTCTGCAGCTCCACCATAGCCTGCCATTTTCGCTAAAAGGTGCCTGTTTTCCAATTATAATGAGAGCAGTTTCATTTTTAGCACTTGGATGTTGTAAGATGTTTTGCAAACCAACATAAGATATACTCATAGACTCTTTCGTTTCCATTGCATATAATTTCTTTGACATGGTCTAACCAAGCTTCTTATAATATTTCTTTCCATTCTACTTGTTCGTATTTATATCCAGTGAAGATAGAATAGAAGTTTGGAGAAGGTGTATAGAACTTTATACCTCGAACTGAAAAATCTTCTAACTTTGACAATAAGATATCCCAAGCATCTAACATCTTCATGCCAACTTGTACAACTTTTATTTTCTTAAGTTTCTGTCTACATTCTTGTTCTGAAACTATTGTCGCTTTAGGTTTGTTAAAGACTACATCCCATTCTTTCATAACATAACATTCTGGGGCAAGAGTCAACATAAATGACTAAACGTTTCAAATTCGACTGCTTTGTTATAGTCTCTAAAATGGACACATATTTCTGAATGCTTGGAAGTCATAAAAATCTGAAACATCTATTCTGTACATTTTTATAAAAATAAAAAAAATATTTTTTTAATTCTTGACTTTGTTGTTGCATTGTTCATTTGTTGTTCTTGAGCTATTTGTTGTTGAAGTTGTTCTTGTAATACAATACTTTCACCAGTTGCATCTTCCAATTCGAAACTTTCTGCCGTCATTGACAAATACATAGGAATAAAAGTTTTACAGGAACAAAGTTTGCGTCAACTAATGTCAACGTTATACTTGCCAAAGTGTTTGAGTTCACTAAGGTTGAAAATTCTGCATTCGAATGAACAATAGGCAAACCAGCAGAGAAAGTATTGTTTATACGCATAAGTATCTTTTGGTCATATAGTTTCTGTCAACATTCGAATAACACTTTGAACCTAAGTTTGAAACAATATATAAGATTGGTGTGCTTAATGTCAATGGAATAGACATTCCTTGTATGACACCTTTTCCTGTTATAGGAAACTGTTGGTAGTAAAAACCAGAAATAAGTTTTGTATTATAGCTCATATCGTTTATAGTAAACTCAGTCGGACATCCAAACATAATGAAAACCTGCTCTAGTTGCAGCACATGTTACACCCGTACTTAAAGTATTAAATAAGTCAACAAAACCTGTTGGTGGTATATCTGAGTAAGTATCTTCAAAGGAGTATTTTTTACCATTCACAACAATAAAGTCTCTGGTGTCAAAAAGAGCAAAACAGGCTTTAGTCGTCATTGTGTTTAAGGTTAGTTTACAATATCGTCCTTGAGGACTTTGTAAGTTTGTTGTTATAGAATTATATGACCAGGGTTTTTAGTCGTAATAGTATATAACCATTATATCTTCTGCCATTTACTTAGCAAATAAATTTTAATGAAATGTTGTGGTCGTCAAATATTTTTATAACGTCTGGGAAACTATATTTTAAGTTCAACGTTTCACCTCCTTTCATAACGTATATCTTGTCAATGAATTATATGAAACACCACAGCAACTAATGTCGGGTTCTATTTCTTTGATGTTTATATCGTCTGCCTCTGTCAAAAGTTTCAATAGTTCTTTCAAAACTTCATGAGGTGCAATGACATATGAGTTCACTTTACAGGGTTGTGTTCGACCAAGTTTAACATTATACTTAAAGCTTGACAAATCTTCTCCTGAGTTTGAAGTTGTCTTTCAGTTGTTGGTAGTCGTTTCGAATATCTGCAACAGACTTAAGTCTCTGCTAACTTCAGGATATGTTTGGTTGTTCTTTTACAGGAACAATTGTTATACCATCTTCGTCTTCGTATGGTTTCCCCACTCAACATCTCTGTCTTTGACATTGACAACAACACTTTGACTGTTTGTTTGAGTTGGTGAATTTAACTTCACATCTGCCACCGCCATTAAACCTTTTGAAACACTCACGCTTCTATTTTTCGAAATGACATTTTACTTAGAATAAAAGATGGACGTATTCGAGTATCTCTTCGAATTGAAGCAGAACAAAGTTACACACACAAACAATACAAATACATTGACAGAATAGTTCTTTATACAAACAATGGTAAATGTTATAGAATAGCAATATTTGCTGAACCTAAATATTTCCATAAAGCAAAGAAAGTTGGTATAAC